TCTCTGGTTCCATGTGACCACTGGTTCCATGTGACTCTGGTTCCATGTGTCACTGGTTCCCTGTGTCACTGGTTCCATGTGACTCTGATTTCATGTGTCACTGGTTCCCTGTGTCACTGGTTCTATGTGACTCTGGTTCTATGTGCCTCTGGTTCCCCGTTCTTGTGCTTCCTCGTTCCTCTGGTTCCACGTTCCTCTGGTTCTCGTTCCGCTGGTTCCACGTTCCTCTGGTTCCAGTTCCTCTGGTTTCTTGTGCCTCTGGTTCCTGTTCCTCTGGTTCCTGTTCCTCTGGTTCTCGTTCCTCTGGTTCCACGTTCCCTCTGGTTCCAGTTCCTCTGGTTCCAGTACCTTTGGTTCCACGTGCCTCTGGTTCTCGTTCCTCTGGTTCCAGTTCCTCTGGTTCTCGTTCCTCTGGTTCCTGTTCCTCTGGTTCCTTGTGCCTCTGGTTCTCTTTCCTCTGTTTCCAGTTCCTCTGGTTCCTTGTGCCTCTGGTTCTCGTTCCTCTGGTTCTCGTTCCTCTGGTTCCACGTTCCCTCTGGTTCCAGTTCCTCTGGTTCCTCGTTCCTCTGGTTCCACGTTCCTCTGGTTCCATGTTCCTTTGGTTCCTCTTGCCTCTGGTTCTCATTCTTCTGGTTCCCTGTGTCTCTGGTCCCCTGTGTCACTGGTTCCCTGTGTCTCTGGTTCCCTGTGTTTCTGGTTCCCTGTGTCTCTGGTTCCCTGTGTCTCTGGTTCCCTGTGTCTCTCGTTCCCTGTGTCACTGGTTCCCTGTGTCTCTGGTTCGATGTGTCTCTGGTTCCCTGTGTCTTTGGTTCCCTGTGTCTCTGGTTCTATGTGTCACTGGTTCCCTGTGTCTCTGGTTCCCTGTGTCTCTGGTTCCCCGTGTCTCTGGTTCTATGTGTCACTGGTTCCCTGTGTCTCTTGTTCCCTGTGTCTCTGGTTCCCTGTGTCACTGGTTCTATGTGTCACTGGTTCCCCGTGTCTCTGGTTCCCTGTGTCTCTGGTTCCTTGTGTCTCTGGTTCCCTGTGTCACTGGTTCCCTGTGTCTCTGGTTCCCTGTGTCTCTGGTTCCATGTGACCACTGGTTCCATGTGACTCTGGTTCCATGTGTCACTGGTTCCCTGTGTCACTGGTTCCATGTGACTCTGGTTCCATGTGTCACTGGTTCCCTGTGTCACTGGTTCTATGTGACTCTGGTTCTATGTGCCTCTGGTTCCCCGTTCTTCTGCTTCCTCGTTCCTCTGGTTCCACGTTCCTCTGGTTCTCGTTCCGCTGGTTCCACGTTCCTCTGGTTCCAGTTCCTCTGGTTCCTTGTGCCTCTGGTTCCTGTTCCTCTGGTTCCTGTTCCTCTGGTTCTCGTTCCTCTGGTTCCACGTTCCCTCTGGTTCCAGTTCCTCTGGTTCCAGTACCTTTGGTTCCACGTACCTCTGGTTCTCGTTCCTCTGGTTCCAGTTCCTCTGGTTCTCGTTCCTCTGGTTCCTGTTCCTCTGGTTCCTTGTGCCTCTGGTTCTCTTTCCTCTGTTTCCAGTTCCTCTGGTTCCTTGTACCTCTGGTTCTCGTTCCTCTGGTTCTCGTTCCTCTGGTTCCACGTTCCCTCTGGTTCCAGTTCCTCTGGTTCCTCGTTCCTCTGGTTCCACATTCCTCTGGTTCCACGTTCCTTTGGTTCCTCTTGCCTCTGGTTCTCATTCTTCTGGTTCCCTGTGTCTCTGGTCCCCTGTGTCACTGGTTCCCTGTGTCTCTGGTTCCCTGTGTTTCTGGTTCCCTGTGTCTCTGGTTCCCTGTGTCTCTGGTTCCCTGTGTCTCTGGTTCGATGTGTCTCTGGTTCCCTGTGTCTCTGGTTCCCTGTGTCTCTGGTTCTATGTGTCACTGGTTCCCTGTGTCTCTGGTTCCCTGTGTCTCTGGTTCCCTGTGTCTCTGGTTCCCTGTGTCACTGGTTCTATGTGTCACTGGTTCCCCGTGTCTCTGGTTCCCTGTGTCTCTGGTTCCTTGTGTCTCTGGTTCCCTGTGTCACTGGTTCCCTGTGTCTCTGGTTCCCTGTGTCACTGGTTCTATGTGACTCTGGTTCTATGTGCCTCTGGTTCCCCGTTCTTCTGCTTCCTCGTTCCTCTGGTTCCACGTTCCTCTGGTTCTCGTTCCGCTGGTTCCACGTTCCTCTGGTTCCAGTTCCTCTGGTTCCTTGTGCCTCTGGTTCCTGTTCCTCTGGTTCCTGTTCCTCTGGTTCTCGTTCCTCTGGTTCCACGTTCCCTCTGGTTCCAGTTCCTCTGGTTCCAGTACCTTTGGTTCCACGTGCCTCTGGTTCTCGTTCCTCTGGTTCCAGTTCCTCTGGTTCTCGTTCCTCTGGTTCCTGTTCCTCTGGTTCCTTGTGCCTCTGGTTCTCTTTCCTCTGGTTCCAGTTCCTCTGGTTCCTTGTGCCTCTGGTTCTCGTTCCTCTGGTTCTCGTTCCTCTGGTTCCACGTTCCCTCTGGTTCCAGTTCCTCTGGTTCCTCGTTCCTCTGGTTCCACGTTCCTCTGGTTCCACGTTCATTTGGTTCCTCTTGCCTCTGGTTCTCATTCTTCTGGTTCCCTGTGTCTCTGGTCCCCTGTGTCACTGGTTCCCTGTGTCTCTGGTTCCCTGTTTTTCTGTTTCCCTGTGTCTCTGGTTCCCTGTGTCTCTGGTTCCCTGTGTCTCTGGTTCCCTGTGTCACTGGTTCCCTGTGTCTCTGGTTCGATGTGTCTCTGGTTCCCTGTGTCTCTGGTTCCCTGTGTCTCTGGTTCTATGTGTCACTGGTTCCCTGTGTCTCTGGTTCCCTGTGTCTCTGGTTCCCCGTGTCTCTGGTTCTATGTTTCACTGGTTCCCTGTGTCTCTGGTTCCCTGTGTCTCTGGTTCCCTGTGTCACTGGTTCTATGTGTCACTGGTTCCCCGTGTCTCTGGTTCCCTGTGTCACTGGTTCCCTGTGTCTCTGGTTCCCTGTGTCTCTGGTTCCATGTGTCTCTGGTTCTATGTATCACTCGTTCCATGTGTCTCTGGTTCCCTGTGTCTCTGGTTCCGTGTGTCTCTGGTTCCCTGTGTCACTGGTTCTATGTGTCTCTGGTTCCCCGTGTCTCTGGTTCCCTGTGTCTCTGGTTCCCGGTGTCTGTGGTTCCCGGTGTCACTGGTTCCATGTGACTCTGGTTCCCGGTGTCTCTGGTTCCCGGTGTCACTGGTTCCTGTGTCTCTGGTTCCCTGTGTCTCTGGATCCCTGTGTCACTGGTTCCTGTGTCTCTGGTTCCCTGTGTCTCTGGTTCCATGTGTCTCTTGTTCCACGTACCCACTGGTTCCCTGTGTCTATGGTTCCCTGTGACTCTGGTTCCCTGTGTCTCTGGTTCCCTGTGTCACTGGTTCTATGTGTCACTGGTTCCCTGTGTCTCTGGTTCCTTGTGTCTCTGGTTCCCTGTGTCTCTGGTTCCCTGTGACTCTGGTTCCCTGTGACTCTGGTTCCCTGTGTCTCTGGTTCCATGTGTCTCTGGTTCGCTGTGTCTCTGGTTCCCTGTGTCTCTGGTTCCCTGTGTCTCTGGTTCCCTGTGTCTCTGGTTCCCTGTGTCTCTGGTTCCCTGTGTCTCTGGTTCCATGTGACCACTGGTTCCATGTGACTCTGGTTCCATATGTCACTGGTTCCCTGTGTCACTGGTTCCATGAGACTCTGGTTCCATGTGTCACTGGTTCCCTGTGTCACTGGTTCTATGTGACTCTGGTTCTATGTGCCTCTGGTTCCCCGTTCTTCTGCTTCCTCGTTCCTCTGGTTCCTCGTTCCTCTGGTTCCACGTTCCTCTGGTTCCAGTTCCTCTGGTTCCACGTTCCTCTGGTTCCAGTTCCTCTGGTTCCACGTTCCTCTTGTTCCAGTTCCTCTGGTTCTCGTTCCTCTGGTTCTCGTTCCTCTGGTTCCAATTCCTCTGGTTCCTGTTCCTCTGGTTCTCGTTCCTCTGGTTCCACGTTCCCTCTGGTTCCTGTTCCTCTGGTTCCAGTACCTTTGGTTCCACGTGCCTCTGGTTCTCGTTCCTCTGGTTCCAGTTCCTCTGGTTCTCGTTCCTCTGGTTCCTTGTGCCTCTGGTTCCTGTTCCTCCGGTTCCTGTTCCTCTGGTTCCAGTTCCTCTGGTTCCTTGTGCCTCTGGTTCTCGTTCCTCTGGTTCTCGTTCCTCTGGTTCCACGTTCCCTCTGGTTCCAGTTCCTCTGGTTCCTGCTCCTCTGGTTCCACGTTCCTCTGGTTCTCGTTCCTCTGGTTCCACATTCCTCTGGTTCCAGTACCTCTGGTTCCACGTACCTCTGGTTCCCGTCCCTCTGGTTCCCGTACCTCTGGTTCACGCGCGTTATTATTTAACCAGCTGTTTGTGTCTCTTATCTGCGGTTTCTTCCCAGAAATCCCCAATCAACGTGATCGGGTCACGCAAACAATCACACAAACACACAGACAAAGGTCCCCCGTGTAGCCTCTAACAGACTGCAGGGGCAAGTGCTGTTAGTAGCGAGTAGCAGCAGCACCTGTGAAGGTAGACACAGACAAAGGTCCCCCGTGTAGCCTTTAACAGACTGTAGGGGGCAAGTGCTGTTAGTAGCGAGTAGCAGCAGCACCTGTGAAGGTAGACACAGACAAAGATCCCCCGTGTAGCCTCTAACAGACTGCAGGGGCAAGTACTGTTAGTAGCGAGTAGCAGCAGTACCTGTGAAGGTAGACACAGATAAAAGGTCCCCCGTGTAGCCTCTAACAGACTTTAGGGGCAAGTGCTGTTAGTAGCGAGTAGCAGCAGCACCTGTGAAGGCCGCCTACTGTGGAGAACGAATGGGTGGGTGGTGGTCAACACCACACACACCCACCCCCCACTCACCACTCACCCAGTCACCACCCACCCACCACTCACCCACTCACCACCCACCCACCCACCCACTCACCACCCACCCACTCACAACTCACCCACTCACCACCCACCCACCACCTACTCACCACCCACCCACTCACCACCCACCCACTCACCACCCACCCACCCACCACCCACCTGCTCTCCACTCACCTACCACCTCTATAAATTCACTGTCACTGAGCGAATGCCCCCAGACGAACCATCATCCCCATCATGGCAGCCGCGCCAATGTGAGTGTTCGGGCCGGTGGTGGTAGTGGTGGTGTGGTGGTAGAAGTGTTGGTGGTGGTGGTAGTGGTGGTGGTGGTAGATGTAGTTGGTGGTAGAAGTGGTAGCGGTGGTAGCGGTGGTGCAAGTGGTGGTGGTGGTAGCGGTAGTAGCGGTGGTAGCGGTGGTGGTAGATGTAGTTAGTTGGTGGTAGCGGTGGTGGTTGTGCTAGCGGTGGTTGAAGTGGTGGTGGTGGCTGCGGTGGTGGCTGCGGTGGTGATGGTAGTGCTATGATCGTAGGTCGCCTCTTGGCTCGATCATCCGTTGCACTCCCCGTTAGGGTTCGAGACAGAGAGTGAGAGAGAGACAGAGAGTGAGAGAGAGAGAGACAGAGAGTGAGAGAGAGACAGAGAGTGAGAGAGAGAGACAGAGAGTGAGAGAGTGAGAGACAGAGAGTGAGAGAGAGACAGAGAGTGAGAGAGAGACAGAGAGTGAGAGAGAGAGAGACAGAGAGTGAGAGAGAGACAGCGAGTGAGAGAGACAGAGAGTGAGAGAGAGACAGAGAGTGAGACAGAGAGATAGAGAGTGAGAGAGACAGAGAGTGAGAGAGAGACAGAGAGTGAGAGAGAGAGGCAGAGAGTGAGAGAGACAGAGAGTGAGAGAGAGACAGAGAGTGAGAGAGACAGCGAGTGAGAGAGAGAGACAGAGAGTGAGAGAGAGACAGAGAGTGAGAGAGAGACAGAGTGAGAGAGACAGAGAGTGAGAGAGAGACAGAGAGTGAGAGAGAGAGAGGCAGAGAGTGAGAGAGAGACAGAGAGTGAGAGAGAGACAGAGAGTGAGAGAGAGAGACAGAGAGTGAGAGAGAGAGACAGAGAGTGAGAGAGAGACAGAGAGTGAGAGAGAGACAGAGAGTGAGAGAGAGACAGAGAGTGAGAGAGAGAGAGACAGAGAGTGAGAGAGAGACAGAGAGTGAGAGAGAGAGACAGAGAGTGAGAGAGAGAGAGACAGAGAGTGAGACAGAGAGTGAGAGAGAGACAGAGAGTGAGAGAGAGAGACAGAGAGAGAGACAGAGAGTGAGAGAGAGACAGAGAGTGAGAGAGAGACAGAGAGTGAGAGAGAGAGACAGAGAGTGAGAGAGAGACAGAGAGTGAGAGAGAGACAGAGAGTGAGAGAGAGAGACAGAGAGTGAGAGACAGAGAGTGAGAGAGAGACAGAGAGTGAGAGACAGAGAGTGAGAGAGAGACAGAGTGAGAGAGACAGAGAGTGAGAGAGAGACAGAGAGTGAGAGAGAGAGACAGAGAGTGAGAGAGAGAGACAGAGAGTGAGAGAGAGAGACAGAGAGTGAGAGACAGAGAGTGAGAGAGAGAGACAGAGAGTGAGAGACAGAGAGTGAGAGAGAGAGAGAGAGACAGAGAGACAGAGAGTGAGAGAGAGACAGAGAGACAGAGAGTGAGAGAGAGACAAAGAGTGAGAGAGAGAGAGACAGAGAGTGAGAGAGAGACAGAGAGTGAGAGACAGAGAGTGAGAGAGAGAGACAGAGAGTGAGAGACAGAGAGTGAGAGAGAGAGAGAGAGACAGAGAGACAGAGAGTGAGAGAGAGACAGAGAGACAGAGAGTGAGAGAGAGACAAAGAGTGAGAGAGAGAGAGACAGAGAGTGAGAGAGAGACAGAGAGTGAGAGACAGAGAGTGAGAGAGAGACAGAGAGTGAGAGAGTGAGAGACAGAGAGTGAGATAGAGACAGAGAGTGAGAGAGAGACAGAGAGTGAGAGAGAGAGGCAGAGAGTGAGAGAGACAGCGAGTGAGAGAGAGAGACAGAGAGTGAGAGAGAGACAGAGAGTGAGAGAGAGACAGAGTGAGAGAGACAGAGAGTGAGAGAGAGACAGAGAGTGAGAGAGAGAGAGGCAGAGAGTGAGAGAGAGACAGAGAGTGAGAGAGAGACAGAGAGTGAGAGAGAGACAGAGAGTGAGAGAGAGAGACAGAGAGTGAGAGAGAGAGACAGAGAGTGAGAGAGAGACAGAGAGTGAGAGAGAGAGACAGAGAGTGAGAGAGAGAGAGACAGAGAGTGAGACAGAGAGTGAGAGAGAGACAGAGAGTGAGAGAGAGAGACAGAGAGAGAGACAGAGAGTGAGAGAGAGACAGAGAGTGAGAGACAGAGAGTGAGAGAGAGACAGAGAGTGAGAGAGAGACAGAGAGTGAGAGAGAGAGACAGAGAGTGAGAGAGAGACAGAGAGTGAGAGAGAGACAGAGAGTGAGAGAGAGAGACAGAGAGTGAGAGACAGAGAGTGAGAGAGAGACAGAGAGTGAGAGACAGAGAGTGAGAGAGAGACAGAGTGAGAGAGACAGAGAGTGAGAGAGAGACAGAGAGTGAGAGAGAGAGACAGAGAGTGAGAGAGAGAGACAGAGAGTGAGAGAGAGAGACAGAGAGTGAGAGACAGAGAGTGAGAGAGAGAGACAGAGAGTGAGAGACAGAGAGTGAGAGAGAGAGAGAGAGACAGAGAGACAGAGAGTGAGAGAGAGACAGAGAGACAGAGAGTGAGAGAGAGACAAAGAGTGAGAGAGAGAGAGACAGAGAGTGAGAGAGAGACAGAGAGTGAGAGACAGAGAGTGAGAGAGAGACAGAGAGTGAGAGAGAGAGACAGAGAGAGAGAGAGAGACAGAGAGTGAGAGAGAGAGACAGAGAGTGAGACAGAGAGTGAGAGACAGAGAGTGAGAGAGAGACAGAGAGTGAGAGAGTGAGAGACAGAGAGTGAGAGAGAGACAGAGAGTGAGAGAGTGAGAGACAGAGAGTGAGATAGAGACAGAGAGAGACAGAGAGTGAGAGAGAGACAGAGAGTGAGAGAGAGAGACAGAGAGTGAGAGAGAGACAGAGAGTGAGAGAGAGACAGAGAGTGAGAGAGAGAGAGTGAGAGAGAGACAGAGAGTGAGAGAGAGAGAGAGACAGAGAGTGAGAGAGAGAGACAGAGAGTGAGAGACAGAGAGTGAGAGAGAGACAGAGAGTGAGAGAGAGAGACAGAGAGTGAGAGAGAGAGACAGAGAGTGAGAGAGAGACAGAGAGTGAGAGAGAGAGACAGAGAGAGAGAGAGAGAGAGACAGAGAGTGAGAGAGAGACAGAGAGTGAGAGACAGAGAGTGAGAGAGAGACAGAGAGTGAGAGAGAGACAGAGAGTGAGAGAGAGAGACAGAGAGTGAGAGAGAGAGAGACAGAGAGTGAGAGAGAGACAGAGAGTGAGAGAGAGAGACAGAGAGAGACAGAGAGTGAGAGAGAGACAGAGAGAGACCGATCAGCCAAAGGCTGCGTCACCGATCGGTGACCTTCACCACAACGATGCCCTCGCTGTTCCACAGAGTCCGGCTTCTCCTTCTGCTGCTGCCGCTGCTGCTCGAGCGTGGCGGTGGGGCGACGGCCAACTCCGCGAGCCAGTGGCGGCCTCCTTCACGGGACCCGTGGCCTCGTCGTGAGAACCCAGGGCCTCCTGCTTCTCCTCCTCGTGATATCCCACCTCTTCCTCTTTTTCCTCCTCGTACGATCCCGCTGTCTCCTCCTCAATTTCCCCGCCCGGTGCCGTGGTCTTCTCGTGCTCGGATCCGGCGTTCTCCTCTTTCACGGATCCCGCAGCCTCCTCCTCCTCCTCCTCCTCCTCGTAAAATCCCGCGGCCTCCTCGTCCTCCTCCTCCTCCTCCTCCTCCTCGTGGGAAATGGTGGCATCCCGTCTATCCTCCTCGTCAAATCCCGCGGCCTCCTCAAATTCCTCAACCGGTCCTGTGGTCTTCTCGTGCTCGGATCCGGCGTTCTCCTCTTTCACGGATCCCGCGGCCTCCTCGCATTCCTCCTCCTCCTCCTCGTGAAATCCCGCGGCCTCCTCGCTTTCCTCCTCCTCCTCGTGAAATCCCGCGGCCTCCTCGCTTTCCTCCTCCTCCTCGTGAAATCCCGCGGCCTCCTATATTTTCCCATCCGGTCCAGTGGCTTTCTCATTCGCGGAACCGGCGTTCTCTTCCTCCCCGGGTCCCTCCGTCTCCCCCCGCTCCTCGCCACAACCGCTCCGAGTGTCCGCCCTCACGGCCCGCGGCCGCCTTGCCGGCCAACGCCACTGAGCTCGTCCTGAGCGGCGCCAACCTCTCGTGCCTGGCCCCCGACTCGTTCCGGGGCCTCCGCGGGGGCCTCTTGCGCGAGCTCCGCCTCGACGACAACGCCCTGGAGGCCCTCCCCGCGGGCCTCCTCGACGGCCTGGCGCGCCTCGAGGTCCTCGACCTCGGCGGCAACCGCCTCGGGGCCCTGCCGGAGGACGGGGCCCTGGGCCGCGACGCGCCGGCCCTCAGGCACCTGGTGCTCGCCCGCAACCGGCTGCGGCGGCTGACCGCGGCCTCCCTCGCCGGCCTGGCGCGCCTCGAGTGGCTGGACGCGTCGGCCAACGGGCTGGCCCGGCTCGACGACGGGGCCCTGGGCGGCGGCGCTCCGTCCCTGCGGGCCCTGCACCTGGTGGACAACCGGCTGGAGGCGCTGGGGCCGGGGGCCTTCCGCGGCCTCCGGCGGCTGGAGAGGCTCCACCTGGACGGCAACCGCCTGCGGTCCCTGCCGGCCGGGGCCTTCGACGACTGCGCGGCCCTCCGCTTCCTCTACCTGGGCCGCAACGGCCTGAGGTCCCTGGCGCCGGGCCTCCTCGGCCCGACGCCGCGCCTCGAAATGCTGGACCTCTCCGACAACGAGCTGGCCGCCTTGCCCGACGGGTGGCTGGCGCCGGCGAGGGCGCTCGGCCGGGAGTTCGGCCAGGGCGTCGACCTGGCCGGCAACCCGTGGCGCTGCGACTGCGGCCTCGCGTACCTCTGGGCCTGGCTGCGGGACAACCGCGACGCCGTCTACTGGCCGCACAAGGTGGCCTGCGCGGGGCCTCCGGCCCTGGCGGCGGCCGCCGTGGTCAACGTGAGCCGCGAGGAGCTGGAGGTGAACTGCGGGCGCGGTTGAGGTGGCGGCGGTTGGTTGTGTAGGCGGTCCGCACCGCCCCTTCTCCTCCTGTCCTCAATCCTTTCGGTGGCGGGGGGGGGGGGGGGTGGGCGGAAGAGGTCGGCCAAATAGACAAACAATCACGATAAAAATAACAACATTTGGAGACGATGAGTAGTGAAGTGGGGGGGGGGGGGGGCGACTCGACGTCGGCTGAACGCCAGGGGGTGCTCTTTGTGAAAATAGGCGAAACTTCGTTTCAAAAAGGTCCCCTTCGGAAAGGGCAAACGTTGCCGTGTCTGCGGTAGCGATCAGAGACAACCGCGCCAAGTCACGACACCCGAGCTGAATTCCTCGGTACAAAACTCTGGCCCCAAATCTACATTTCGGGAGTGCCCGGTACTCCACCGTGCACGTCGGGGTTCGGGGATCCAATCCCTGGTCACCATTATGCCCGATCTTAAATAATAATAATAATGTTAATGATAACAAAACGACGCACCTGGCTGCCCCTGTCTGCGCAAAATGGTTTCTGAGCTTCCCATATGGTACAGAGTGCATAATTATACACGGTGTTATGGATGACAGGGTGAGCTCACACAGGCTACAGCTAGGAGATGTTGGCTGCCTCGCCTGGTATGCAAGAGGTCATGGGTTCGATCCCCCGACCCTGATGACGCCTGCTGCTGTATATTTGTAGTCTGCGTGTCTCTCTCTCTCTCTCACCCCGGGAGTCGTACGCATGTTTCTCCGGGTCGTCCGTGAATGAAGGAGGGAGCTGTGTGTGGAGAGAGCTGTGGATGAAGGAAGGAGCTGTGTGTGGAGAGAGCTGTGGATGAAGGAGGGAGCTGTGTGTGGAGAGAGCTGTGGATGAAAGAGGGAGCTGTGTGTGGAGAGAGCTGTGGATGAAGGAGGGAGCTGTGTGTGGAGAAAGCTGTGGATGAAGGAGGGAGCTGTGTGTAGAGAGAGCTGTAGATGAAGGAGGGAGCTGTGTGTGGTGTGAGCTGTGGATTAAGGAGGGAGCTATGTGTGGAGAGAGCTGTGGATGAAGGAGGGAGCTGTGTGTGGAGAGAGCTGTGGATGAAGGAGGGAGCTGTGTGTGGAGAGAGCTGTGGATGAAGGAGGGAGCTGGGTGTGGAGAGAGCTGTGGATGAAGGAGGTAGCTGTGTGTGGAGAGAGCTGTGGATGAAGGAGGGAGCTGTGTGTGGAGCGAGCTGTGGATGAAGGAGGGAGCTGGGTGTGGAGAGAGCTGTGGATGAAGGAGAGAGCTGTGTGTGGAGAGAGCTGTGGATGAAGGAGAGAGCTGTGTGCAGAGAGAGCTGTGGATGAAGGAGAGAGCTGTGTGCAGAGAGAGCTGTGGATGAAGGAGGGAGCTGTGTGCAGAGAGAGCTGTGGATGAAGGAGAGAGCTGTGTGTGGAGAGAGCTGTGGATGAAGGAGAGAGCTGTGGATGATGGAGAGAGCTGTGGATGAAGGAGGTAGCTGCGTGTGGAGAGAGCTGTGGATGAAGGAGGGAGCTGCGTGTGGAGAGAGCTGTGGATGAAGGAGGGAGCTGTGTGTGGAGAGAGCTGTGGATGAAGGAGGTAGCTGGGTTTGGAGAGAGCTGTGGATGAAGGAGGGAGCTGTGGATGAAGGAGAGAGCTGTGGATGAAGGAGAGAGCTGTGGATGAAGGAGGGAGCTGCGTGTGGAGAGAGCTGTGGATGAAGGAGAGAGCTGTGGATGAAGGAGAGAGCTGTGGATGAAGGAGAGAGCTGTGGATGAAGGAGAGAGCTGTGGATGAAGGAGAGAGCTGTGGATGAAGGAGGGAGCTGTGGATGAAGGAGAGAGCTGTGGATGAAGGAGAGAGCTGTGGATGAAGGAGAGAGCTGTGTATTACAGAGGTAGAATACAAAGACTGGAACCCTGACATGTCTCCGCGTGTTGCTAGTGAGAGTATCCTCTACAAGCCGATTGAAAGAGTGCATGGGGAGGAAAGCGGAGCCTGCGTCGTTCTATCGGAACCGAAAGAGCTTATTTGCTCCATGGGCTTGCCTTGGGAAAACAACAAAAAAAATAAACTTGTGATTACGAAAACAAAAATAAACATGTGACCATGAAAATAAGAATGGACTTCTGATCGTTATTCAAGCTGGGCAGAGCGATTCACCACACGGTGCTGAACTCACGAGGGATGCCCGAAGTTTCGCGGGCAGGCATGTTTGTTGTACATACAACAAGCATACAATAAACATACAAAACACACATACAGCACACATACCCCAATATTTAATTAGGGGACCCGTGCCCACATGGTTGAAAATAAAGGACGCTGGCTCAGTGTCCTGGATGATGATGATGAGAGTTGTGTGCAACACGTGATGCAACATTTTGGTCCACATCACCCCCCCACATCACCTCCCACTCCCCATCTCTTCCCTTCCCTCTCCACTCCTCTCTCCCGTCCTCCCCTCTCCCTCCCCCCTGGCTGTTGTAATCGATGGGGGAGGGAGATTACACAAGGAGCTCACTCTCTCGCTGTCTCTCTCTCTCTCGCTGCCTCTCTCTCTCTCTCGTTGTGTCTCTCACTGTCTCCCTCTCTCGTTGTGTCTCTCGCTGTCTCCCTCTCTCTCGTTGTGTCTCTCGCTGTCTCTCTCTCTCTCTCGCTGTCTCTCTCTCTCGTTGTGTGTCTCGCTGTCTCCCTCTCTCTCTCGTTGTGTCTCTCTCTCTCGCTGTGTCTCTCACTGTCTCCCTCTCTCTCGTTGTGTCTCTCTCTCTCGCTGTGTCTCTCGCTGTCTCTCTCTCTCGTTGTGTCTCTCGCTGTCTCCCTCTCTCTCGCTGTCTCTCTCTCTCGTTGTGTCTCTCGCTGTCTCCCTCTCTCTCGCTGTCTCTCTCTCTCTCGTTGTGTCTCTCGCTGTCTCTCTCTCTCTCTCGCTGTCTCTCTCTCTCTCTCGCTGTCTCTCTCTCTCTCTCGTTGTGTCTCTCGCTGTCTCTCTCTCTCTCTCGTTGTGTCTCTCACTGTCTCCCTCTCTCTCGCTGTGTCTCTCGCTGTCTCTCTCTCTCTCTCGTTGTGTCTCTCACTGTCTCCCTCTCTCTCGCTGTGTCTCTCGCTGTCTCTCTCTCTCGTTGTGTCTCTCGCTGTCTCCCTCTCTCTCGCTGTGTCTCTCGCTGTCTCTCTCTCTCTCTCGCTGTCTCTCTCTCTCGTTGTGTCTCTCGCTGTCTCTCTCTCTCTCTCTCGCTGTCTCTCTCTCTCTCGTTGTGTCTCTCGCTGTCTCCCTCTCTCTCGCTGTGTCTCTCGCTGTCTCTCTCTCTCTCGTTGTGTCTCTCGCTGTCTCTCTCTCTCTCGCTGTGTCTCTCGCTGTCTCTCTCTCTCGTTGTGTCTCTCGCTGTCTCTCTCTCTCTCGCTGTGTCTCTCGCTGTCTCTCTCTCTCTCTCGCTGTCTCTCTCTCTCTCTCGCTGTGTCTCTCGCTGTCTCTCTCTCTCTCTCGCTGTCTCTCTCTCTCTCGTTGTGTCTCTCGCTGTCTCTCTCTCTCTCTCGCTGTGTCTCTCGCTGTCTCTCTCTCTCTCTCGCTGGCTCTCTCTCGTTGTGTCTCTCGCTGTCTCTCTCTCTCTCGCTGTGTCTCTCGCTGTCTCTCTCTCTCGTTGTGTCTCTCGCTGTCTCTCTCTCTCTCGCTGTGTCTCTCGCTGTCTCTCTCTCTCTCTCGCTGTCTCTCTCTCTCTCTCTCGCTGTGTCTCTCGCTGTCTCTCTCTCTCTCTCGCTGTCTCTCTCTCTCTCGCTGTGTCTCTCGCTGTCTCTCTCTCTCGCTGTCTCTCTCTCTCTCGTTGTGTCTCTCGCTGTCTCTCTCTCTCTCGCTGTGTCTCTCGCTGTCTCTCTCTCTCGTTGTGTCTCTCGCTGTCTCTCTCTCTCTCGCTGTGTCTCTCGCTGTCTCTCTCTCTCTCTCGCTGTCTCTCTCTCTCTCTCGCTGTGTCTCTCGCTGTCTCTCTCTCTCGCTGTCTCTCTCTCTCTCGTTGTGTCTCTCGCTGTCTCTCTCTCTCTCGCTGTCTCTCTCTCTCTCTCGCTGGCTCTCTCTCTCTCTCGTTGTGTCTCTCTCTCTCTCGTTGTGTCTCTCGCTGTCTCCCTCTCTCTCTCGTTGTGTCTCTCGTTGTGTCTCTCGCTGTGTCTCTCGCTGTCTCCCTCTCTCTCTCGCTGTCTCTCTCTCTCGTTGTGTCTCTCGCTCTCTCTCTCTGTCGTTGTGTCTCTCGCTGTCTCCCTCTCTCTCTCGTTGCGTCTCTCGCTGTCTCTCTCTCTCTCTCTCGTTGCGTCTCTCGCTGTCTCTCTCTCTTTTTCTCTTTTTTATTTATTTTATTTTACGATCAGAAGATGCTCGGTCTAGTCGGCACTTTGCTTCGTTCATCATTTCGGTTTTTTTTCCCCAATGCTTTGCTTTATGTACCCCCCCCCCCCCCCCCTTTGAAATGAAAGATTTCACAAAAGATTTTACGCTCTGCTCTCCTTCTTCTTACCCCTTCCCTCTCTCTCTACCCCTCTCTGTCTACCCCCTCTCTCTACCCCCTCTCTCTCTCTCTACCCCCTCTCTCTACCCCCTCTCTCTCTACCCCCCTCTCTGTCTACCCCCTCTCTGCCTACCCCCTCTCTCTCTACCCCCTCTCTCTCTACCCCCTCTCTCTCTCTCTACCCCCTCTCTCTACCCCCTCTCTCTCTACCCCCCTCTCTGTCTACCCCCTCTCTGCCTACCCCCTCTCTCTCTACCCTTTCTCTCTCTCTCTCTACCCCCTCTCTCTCTACCCCTTCTCTCTCTCTCTCTCTACCCCCTCTCTCTACCCCCTCTCTCTCTACCCCCCTCTCTGTCTACCCCCTCTCTGCCTACCCCCTCTCTCTCTACCCCCTCTCTCTCTACCCCCTCTCTCTACCCCCTCTCTCTCTCTCTACCCCCTCTCTCTACCCCCTCTCTCTCTACCCCCCTCTCTGTCTACCCCCTCTCTGCCTACCCCCTCTCTCTCTACCCCCTCTCTCTCTCTACCCCCTCTCTCTCTCTCTACCCCCTCTCTCTACCCCCTCTCTCTCTACCCCCCTCTCTGTCTACCCCCTCTCTGCCTACCCCCTC